TCACCCTCACATTTCCCAAATAGATCTTTTACTCACAAGTCAAGGCCAAAGCTGGGTATTTTCAGCATGTGAAGCTAAGGCTGAAAGGAAAAAAAAAAAAACAAAACAAAACAAAAAAAAAAAAACCTGAGGTAACTAGCCATTTCTAACAGTCTGGCTACTATATATATGTAAGTATTTTTAGATAGACAAGGATGAGTTTCACCTTTTTTATACAAGTAGGTATTTGCTCAAATCCTTTAAACCAGAATTTCCTCAGTTCTCACCTATGTACAGGTGGCCATTGGAAGCCCAGCTGAGGGACCTCTTACAGCTTCAAAGTGGTAGTATTTTAAATACTGCAGGCAGTAGTATTTTAAAATAAATTAGTATTTCAGGCTCACTGTGGAAAGTCTGCATGCTTTAGAAGGGGTGCTGGGAAGAGATGCCATCTTCTGTGACAAATGAAAAAGGAAGATGTGAAACTGCAGAGACTGGAGAAAGAAAGCACAGTGTGATAAAGCACTGTTTGACCTCACGAGGTTCCTAATGAAAAGGGGAATGAAGCTCACCGGGAGCCCATAGGTAGGTCACAAGCCGGTTCAGGTAAAATGTTAAACAGGGGGGTTTGCAGCAGATGGGATGTCCTGCAGCGGGGAGTCGAGAGCAGCTCACCCACCCCTTCCCACAGCTTCCCGAGCGAGACACGGAGCGCCTTATATACACGTGGGTGTATATACATCTCCCTCTGCCCTCACTGGGAGCAGGCACTGCGATGATCGTTTATGGGGGTCCTTTCTACCAGCCTCTGTCTGCTCCCGGTTTGGGGCCCTCGTCCGTACAAGCACACTTGGAAATACTGAAATCTGCATCCAAGTCTTCCTTCCCAATAACCAAACCCAACAGGTAGAAACAGCTGGATTTACGTCCAGCCCGTTCCCTCTGCACACCCACACACTGCGATAGTTCAGCGCTAATTGGACTGACAGGGAATTTCCATTTGCTCTTGAGCATGCTTTCTTTTCTCATTAGGGATATATCATCCATTTGAGTTAAATCAGCTGTTAACAGAACAAAACATTCAGTTTAATGGAAATCAGTGGTATAAAATCCCAGATTTTTCAGAAAGTGCATTAAGAGGCAAAGCTGGAAGGAATTCAGTTTCAGCTATACCAGACAGAAACCTATTCGGCTACAAGGCATATGCTAGAGCTATGGAGGAAAAGGTGCTAATGCAGCATGCTTTATGGTTGTGGTCCAAAATAAGAACAGATCAGTGATACAAGCAGGAAGACACTAATTTGCTGGCTGTGTGTGAAGGCATGTAGCAGTGTGGCTGCTAAAAGATATGCCGCGTTCTTTACTCATGCAAAGTGCTTGGACCTTTCACAGCTGAAGCACTGCAGTCGGAACGCGCAAACTGTTAAAACCAGTATGTGAGATTTCCATTTCCAGTCCTGGCAGGCTCAGCAGGGCGGTGCTGAGACGCGGGCTGCCGATGGAGCAGCAGGGACGGAGCTGTCACCCCGCACGGGCCCGGCTGCAGCGGGCAGGAGGTTCCCTGGCAGGGCCAAAGTGCCACTGAGGTGGGCGAGGAGCGAGGGTCCCGGCCACCCGCACCCCTCTGCCCCCCAGCAGCCCCCCCCCGGCCCGCCCCGCGTCGCGGCGGGAGGGGAAATGGAGTGTGGGCAGAGACAACAGATGAGGTTTGCTAGGCAAAGGATGAAATACTGAGCAGTCACAGCGACTGGGGTTTAAAAAAGGAAAGCCTGGACGGAGTGAGGTATGTGAGGCGGGAGTAAAAAGGAGGCAAAAATGCCAGTGATTTGGAAAATGTGCATGAAAAATGGAAATGGTGCTTTTCCACTCTTGCGAGGCAAGGCGAGTGTGGTTCCAGATAAGTTGCTGCTGTTTGCAGTGTGTGGTAGCACCTGATGCTCTGACAGGGGAGTTTTTTCCCCGGGAGGAGCTGGGAGGTGATGGGGAGTGTGATGTTACACCCTCGAGGGCACCATCGAAGCTGCAGCTTGATGCCTGTAATCAGTGTGAGCAACCCCGTCTGCTTCGGGTGCCCACCCTTCAAAGGAGCCATTTGAAAATGAGATGACACTCAGAAAAAAAGTTACGGGTATCTCGGAAAATCCTGCCCTGGCACAGCAAACTAAATAAATCGAAGTTTCTCAGACCAGATTATAAATCTGAGCTTGGAGTCTTTAGCAACGGATCAACATTGCTGGAGCTGAAGGATGTGAAGCCTGGGTTTGGTACAGATTCACTTCTGCCTTTGGCTACCTATACATTTGTGTTCAGCCTTGACTGTGCCTACTGGTCCCCCAAGAACGTTACGTGGGACGAGGTGTCACCTCTCTGCAGCCACGGCTTCACGGCGGTGTCCCTCCCGTCCCCCCCAGCGGCACACCGGCACGGCGCGGGTGGTCGGCGTGAGCACTGCCGGGGGTGCCGGGGCAAACGGGGTGCGAGCAGCCGCGTCCTGCCCGTGTCCCCCCAACACTCGGGCTGCCCCCCCCCCGCACCCCCGCACCCCCCCGGCGCCCTGGCCGGAGGAGCGGGCGCCTGGCTCCGGCACCAGCACAAACCCTGAGAAGTGCCTCCTTCCTTCCCCGGGCAGCTGTGGGCTCCCTGAATTACTGCGCCGACCTTTTGTCTCCACCGTTTGGATTTACGGCGCTGCTTAGGTAACAGAGGAAAACAGGCTGTAGTTCATAGTGCACATTTACTGATGCTATCTAACGCTGCTTTGGCATGTCTCAAAATTTGCTCAAAACGAGGAATTCAAGGAAGCTGCCAAGAGAAGCTACGTGCTAGCAATGGGACTCAGAAAATCACTAATGAACTAACAATCATAAAGGGAAAGATAAACTGAAAGGCTTCTCGTATGATAATAGCATCACTTTGTATTTTCTCTCATGATAATATTTTCTCCCACACCATAATCCAAGTTCTTTATTAAAACGAACTCTGGCTTGGGCCATGCAGCTGCTCCTCCAAGGAGCAAGATGGCTTCTTCATAAACCAGCATGGTGGGCTTGATGTTATTACACCGTATTCACCGTACGTCTGGTTTGTGGGTTGGGTGTTTTCTCTTGTGGGAACACTGAGGCTAAGGATTAATTTTTGCTAGAATTTTTAAATCCTAGAGGGCACCACTGAACAGTTTTGTAAACCAGGCTTGCTTTGCAACACAGATTTTACAGGTGTTGCTGTCCTTGTCTCGTTTCTCGCTTTCCTTCTTCTTCATATCCAATTTGTATTAAAATTTTAAAGAATCTTCAAAGTAGTAAATATGCAGTTAGTGGATGAGTACAAAAAAAAAAAACAAAACAAAAAAACAAAACCCACCCAGTAATATACAAGAAGAAAAGGTCTTATATGTACAAAATTGAAGCTGTTGCTTCAAAGTTGTAGTCTGTGTAACTTGCCCACAAGAGATGCCGGGCTGGCAACTCCATCTGCATCCACTTGCATATTCCTACAGGGGTACAATATGCAGCTGATTTCCCAATTAAGCTTTCCCAACAAAGTAGTTTTATAATTTAGACAGACTCAAAAGTTTGAAAAATGAATACATATTCATGAAGTACTAATAATCCTCCGTCTAGAACACAGCTTTTAGCTGAGAGCAGATATGACTAGCTCATGTATCACTCACCACACATCTTAACTAAAATGTGAACAAGGAAGAAATGGCTGAAACCAGCAGATTGTGTTTTGCCAAGACAATAAATAATAATCGCATTCTGACTCAAGTGCCAAATGTATAGTGCTTAATTAGAGGTCAGTAGAGCATATTTCTGCTCAGCTGTTCCATTTACAGCAATTAACATGTTCGTGGAGCTTAAACTGGGTTGCAGAGCAGATTTCAAAGGGTTGAGTGAAAGCCCAATCAGGGAAGCGTTGTTCAGCCGCTCGGGAGCGGCACACCTGGCACCCCGCACCGGGATGGGGCTACCGGGCTGAGGGATTGGGCTACCGGGCTGAGGGATGGGGCTACTGGGCTGAGGGATGGGGCTACCGGGCTGAGGGATGGGGCTACTGGGCTGAGAGATGGGGCTGCCGGGCTGAGGGATGGGGCTACTGGGCTGAGAGATGGGGCTGCCGGGCTGAGGGATTGGGCTACCGGGCTGAGGGATGGGGCTACTGGGCTGAGGGATGGGGCTACCGGGCTGAGGGATTGGGCTACCGGGTTGAGGGATGGGGCTACCGGGCTGAGGGATGGGGCTACTGGGCTGAGAGATGGGGCTGCCGGGCTGAGGGATGGGGCTACTGGGCTGAGAGATGGGGCTGCCGGGCTGAGGGATTGGGCTACCGGGCTGAGAGATGGGGCTACCGGGCTGAGGGATTGGGCTACCGGGCTGAGAGATGGGGCTGCCGGGCTGAGGGATGGGGCTACCGGGCTGAGAGATGGGGCTGCCGGGCTGAGGGATTGGGCTACCGGGCTGAGGGATGGGGCTACCGGGCTGAGGGATTGGGCTACCGGGCTGAGGGATGGGGCTGCCCGGCCGAGGGATGGGGCTGCCGCTCCGTGGGGAAGATGCCTGTGTCGGGGAGGGGGGCTTGGCCCGGGCGCACCGCCCCACTCCTCCACCCCTGCGGCGGGCCGGGGGTCCTGCCCGCCCGTACCGCCGCGGCTCCGGGGCCAGCCCGCCCGTGGGGGGGGGGGGGGGGGGGGGGGTGCGTGGGGGCACCGGCGCCTGGGGGTGCGTGGGGCTGTGTGCCCCGGGCGGGGCGGCCCCGGCCCCCCCCCCCAGCCCCGGCCCCCCCCCCAGCCCCGTGCCGCGGGCGGGGAGCGGCGGCACCGCCTGCGAGGGCGGCGCGGGGGGCGGGCGGCGCGTCCCGGGGCCGAGCCGGCGCCTCGTCCCGCCCGCACTCCGCCCGGGGCCGGCGCGCTGCCCGCCGCGGCTGAGGGGCTGCGGGGGCCCCGGAGCCGCTGCCCCCCTCCCCGCCCTGCCCGGCGATGGGAGCCGGGGCGGCGCGGGGAGGCGAGCGCGGGCTGAGGCGGAGGAGGAGGAGGAGGAGGAGGAGGAGGGAGCCGCGGAAGGCAGGTGGGGGCGAACCCCCGGCGCTCCGCGGAGCCGGGCTGGGGCGCGGCGGGGAGCGGGGCCGAGGGGACTTCGCGGAGCCGGGCGGAGGTTGAGCGGCGGCGGGCGGGCTGCGGGACGGGGCCGGCGGCCGCGGTGCTCGCCGGAGGAACGGCGGGCGGGGAAAGCGGCTGCCCCCCCCCCCCCCCCAACACCCCCCCCCGCACCCCCCCGGCCCCGCTGCCCCTGCCCGGCGCCCGCCCTTCCCCGCCCGCCCGGCCCCGCCGGCCGCTGTCGCCTGCCCCGTCCTCCGGGGCCTGGGGGGGGGGGGGGGGGGGGCGGTTCCCGGGGCCCGGGTGGGGGGGTGCCGGGGCCGAGGAGGGGTCCCCGGGTCCCGGTGCGCGGCGTGGGGGGACGGCCCGCACCCCACCGGCGCGGGTGGGAGCGGCTCAGCCCAGCGCAGAAACCCTCTGAAGGAAAGCAGGGCAGGTTTTACCTCCCAGTTAGGTTTCCTTCGCTCCATTTTTTTTTTTTTTTTAGATGCGTTGCTGTTCCTGTAGAGACTTCCTTGCTTCACCTCAGACCTATGTGACTCTGGTGGAAGGATCATGACTGAAGTCCTCTTCTCTGCTGCTTTGAATGGAACTGAGCCCAACCTGTTCTCCAGCAGCGGCTGGTCTGCGGGAAACGCCACCACCAAGTGTTCCCTGACCAAAACTGGCTTCCAGTTCTATTACCTGCCCACCGTCTACATTCTCGTCTTCATCACTGGGTTTTTGGGCAACAGCGTGGCCATCTGGATGTTCGTCTTCCACATGAGGCCTTGGAGCGGCATCTCGGTTTACATGTTCAACTTGGCGCTGGCCGATTTCTTGTACGTCTTGACTCTGCCTGCCCTCATCTTCTACTACTTCAATAAAACGGACTGGATCTTCGGAGACATCATGTGCAAGCTGCAGCGGTTCATCTTCCACGTGAACCTGTACGGCAGTATTTTGTTTCTAACTTGCATAAGCGTGCACAGGTACACGGGGGTGGTGCACCCCCTGAAGTCGCTGGGGAGGCTGAAGAAGAAGAACGCGGTGTACATCAGCACCCTGGTCTGGGTTGTTGTGGTGGCCGTGATTTCCCCGATACTCTTCTACTCGGGAACGGGGATAAGGAAGAATAAAACCACGACGTGCTACGACACAACAGCCGATGACTACCTGCGAAGTTACTTCATTTACAGCATGTGCACCACGGTGCTTATGTTCTGCATCCCATTCATCCTGATTCTTGGTTGCTATGGGCTCATTGTGAAAGCTCTGATTTACAAAGATTTGGACAATTCTCCTCTCAGGAGAAAGTCGATTTACCTGGTTATCATTGTGTTGACGGTCTTTGCTGTGTCTTACCTCCCCTTCCACGTGATGAAGACCTTAAATCTAAGAGCCAGGGTGGATTTTCAGACCCCACAAATGTGTGCCTTCAACGATAAGGTTTATGCCACTTACCAAGTGACGAGGGGGCTGGCCAGCCTCAACAGCTGCGTCGACCCCATTCTTTACTTTCTGGCAGGCGATACCTTTCGAAGGCGCCTTTCCAGGGCGACCAGGAAATCGTCCAGAAGAAGTGAACACAACGTGCAGTCCAAAAGCGAGGAGATGACTCTCAATATTTTATCAGAGTATAAACAGAACGGAGATACCAGTTTGTGAACAAATGCAAAAGATTTGGGAACAGTTTGGAAAAAATCCTCCGCTCGGAGACAGTAGGACACTGTAGTGCTACAAGTGTGTGAGGAAAATCTACCAGTCTCTCAGATTCATTTTAGGTAAAGCCTCGTTTTCTGATCTTAGAAAAAGCTTGACAAAGTCAGTGGAAGAATTTGAATGGAAAATAACGTGTCAAAATTCAGCTTTCCTTCTGCTTGCAATATTCTCATTTCTTTCTGACTTGTGTCAGATAAAGTAAAATGAAGTAAATCCCCTAAAGGAAGCAAGCAATCCAAGTACTTCTGGTTTAATGACTTAGTCTCCCACGTTCAAAAAGGCTCTCAAACAGCCTCTCTTTAAAAGTAGGAAATAAAGATAAGAAAGAGCAGTGTCTTCTCTTCCGAGGCTCAGTCCACACACCTGGCCTTTCGCTCACTTGCCGTTGTAAACAAGTATTTAAATCAAAGTCACGATGCAGTTATCTCACCTTTTACAGTTTTATTATTTCTTCATCTACTAGTGTTGATAATTATTTGATAGTTCGGTAGCATTTATGATTCAGTCTTCTTTGAGTGCCGGTGTTTTACAAGAGGTAGGCTTACTGATGTGTGCATGATTACGCTTTCAGATTACGATGGTTGTTCATGAAAAATCTGGACACACCCCACCCCCCCCCATTAAAAGGCAAATTGGCTTCCAGGTGACCCGAGCCCTCCGCGGCTGGCAGACAGATAAGCGGGTCTCTGCCTGCTTCGCACCTGCACGTGTTTCGCCAGCGCCGGTGGCGGGAGCCTCGCTGGAGTTCTTTACGGGTAAAAACGTGCAGAAACGCCTCTGCTGGAAATAACCGTACCTTTCGGACGAGTGGAACGGCGGTCGCTCGAGTTACCCGCGTTTTCATTTGGTATGAGAATGTTTCTGTTCCTGGTGGTCTTTAGGGATAACGTAAGAGTTGTCTCCCCAGAAAATAATTATTAAAATGGGTAATATAAATGGATTATATATTATATATATATATATATAAAAAAAAAATAACTGGGGGGAATTAATTTTTTTGTACTGTGACAAATAAATTACTGTATTAACAAGATATTGCAACATACTACAGGCTAAATCCGGCCCTTTATTACATATCTCCTCCAAACGTGGAACAGGTCGTCCAAAATTAGCCAAACTGCAATATTGTGTAACTCAAGAGCTAGTGATCAGAGCACAGATGAAATCGTACATGGGCAGTCATTCATTTCTCGTATTTTTAAGAAATGTATTTGAAAATATTGTGTGCTAAAAATGATAGGAAAGCATGCTCTAAATAATAAATCTAGTGTACAAAATGAAGTTCTATGTAAACCTAAGGGTGATTTTTAACAGATCTTAGTTCCTCCAGTCTTAATAGTAAAATATTTATATTTTACTTACTAATTTCCAGTGATTGGTAACAGAAAAGAATAGCTCTAGTTATTTTTTTTGACAACATTGTAAAGCAGCTTCTGTTCACACGTACAGCTTCTTAATCTGCAAAATCCCTATTTATTGAACTTATTTATTGGAAAGTTAAATGTAAAGTATGTAAAGTGTGGTACTCTGTGGTCATATTCAGAATTGGGCATTAATGGAAAATTTGACAGCATGTTTCAATCACGGTAATACTGTGTCTTCTAACAGAACATCTTTATAATAAACTCAATTCCACCCTGACTATTCACTGTTGATATGTAACCTAGTGATAAATTAAACTACTGATTTATAGCCTAGAGATAAGTTAAACTACTGCTTAGGAAGCATAGCTCCTTAAAGCAGTGTTAAGATCTCATTGAGCCCTATAGGATGAAAAATGTAGAGGTAGCGAAGAAATCCCAAGCAAGGGTCAATTGCTAATTAATCCCTCCTGACAAAAGACTGTGGAACAGCACAGCCTATTTATATCCCTGGAGAGTGAGCCTGATTCACAATAAATGACTTCTCCTATTATGTGATTGTTTGAGACTTCATTCAATTGAGCCATGTCCTGGCTGGAATGGCAGATGAGTTAAATTGAGAGAGAGCATAAAAATAGGATATTCTCTGAATCTGCTCTGCTAGGTTTAAAATCGTATTCGTTTCCCAGCGTTTCGTGGTCTATTTCTCTCTTTCAGTTAGGAAATAAAATGTTCCACTAATTCATGTCTGAAAAAAGATCCTAAACAGATGCAGCAGAATGTAAAAACCGCACCCCCAGGTTGGTCCTCATGTAGTTACTTGCAGCCTTCTCGCAATATGTCTCTTTAATATGGCAAAGCTGGCAGGCTAGGACAGCGTGCGTGAGCTCGGAGAGCCACAACCCCGGGGCCGGGCGGGAGCGGAGCGCCCGCCGTGGCTCTACCCGTGAAAGCTCGCTCTGCCTCGCCTCGCCTCGCCGAAGAGCACGGCGTCCCCCACTTCATCACCGAGGTCCGTGCTGGGCACTGATTTGATGAAGATCGCTTTCGCTGACGGTCGGCCGTGGCAGGGAACCGCACTCGGCACCTTCTCCTCACGGGAGCGTACCGGAGCCTCCCACCGAACGGCGAGAAGGATCATTAAACACATTTTCCACACGGTTTGTTTCCCATCTTTCAGCCCCGGTGACCGGGAGCGCTCGCACCTCAACCCGCGTGCTGCTCCGGCGCGACTCCCCGCCGTACACCCCCCCAGCATGCCGCAGCCTCCTCTCAGTCCCGCTGGAACGTGACGCCGTGCCTCGCAATCGCCCGAGAAGTTCCCGCTCTCTTTCCCAGCGCTGCTGGACCGGGTGCGGAGCCGTCGGCGCCCCTGCAAAGCCGCACCAGCTCCACGCCTCTCCCCCCACCGCTGGCTTTGCACCCGCAGCCTGGCGGGATCGTGGCCGTTGGGCCATCCCGTCGGCGAGGACGCCGCTTCGACGCGGGGGGACTGGGCAGCACCGGGACAAAAAGCAAGCAGGTCTTCTGTGCTGGCTGGAGCCGTTAGCTCCTGGGCAACTCGGCAAGTCTGTCTGTTGTTAAATATTTGCCTTTTGGCCCTTATCCTTGCCGTAACGTATTTGTGGAAGCCAAGCAGCCCGCCAACCTTAGGTGATCCCTGCCTTTATCCGTAAACCTCTGCCATGGATGTAGTCGAAGAAGCCTCTCCGGAACCCACTCGACAGCAGTTTCTTTCTGATCTATCCAATATGCAAAGAGAATGCAATCTCAGCTACAGCCTCTGGGCTGTTAATTAATAATCAATGATGACGATGGGTTGCGTTTACTGGGAACGGGATTCAGCTCATCGCCTCCCTACAGGAAGACCACCTAAAAGTTCCACCTTTTCCTGTTTTGCTACATTAGCCTTCGACTAGCAAATGAGAGTAAACATTTTATGATTTCATGGTCATGCTTTTAACCTTTTCTTCCTCTGGGTGTATCTGGGAATCTTTTAATAACTACAAATCATTCGCTGAAGACACCAAAAGGTTTGGAGTAAATAGCTATTTAGAGCTTAAGTTTTGCCAAAGCATTGTACTATGATCCACGCTGAAACAAATTCTTATTCATTAGCTATATTTTGCTTCCTCTGGCTCACAGGGTTAATTTTTTTTTCTAATTTATGCCCATTAATCCTTACATATGGTAATCTCTAACACAAAATGAAATCGGTAAGAAACCTACGCATGATCTGCTGTCAGTTTGTACGTTTTCATCACACAGCACCACGGGTTGTTGTTGTTGTTGTTGTTGTTTTAATCCAGTTCATACGACACCGAGTTAACAAAGTCACGCTCAGCCCTAGGGACCCAGCAGTGCCTTGCCTGACCCTGCTCTCAGCAGGAGGGTGCCCTGGCGAGCTGCCTCCCCACCCCAATTCCCCAGCACCCCGGCGAGCTGCCTCCCCACCCCAATTCCCCGGCCGTGGGGACCTGTGGGACCGTCCCCGTGGCTGGCGGCCAGCGCGCGAGCGCCGCGGAGCATCCTGCCTCTTCTCACCCGAGGACAGGGCCTGAAGATTCGTTCCCACAGCGTGGACCCCCCCAGACTAAACCCCCCGGGGGCCGTGCTGTATGAGCCCAGCGAGGGGCCACGCCGAGTCTTCCCCAGCCTGGCATCCTCCCCTGGCTGGCTGAGGAAGGACAAGGAGGGGGGACACGGGGAGCCTGCGGAGCACAGGGCGCCCCACGGAAAGGGCTGGTCTTCCCCACTGCCACCCGCCGATGGTCCGAGCTGGACAGGCAGGTCTGGAGCAGGGGAACACGCTGGCCCCGGGGGTGCCAGGAGGCACAAAAACCTGCTAATTGCCTTTCTGGGATTCTTTTTTTTTTTTTTTTTTTTCCCCCCACGTTGCTAGTTTTTGTCTTCAGCTTGGTCCAGAACAAAAACATTAATAGAGAGTGAAATGTCTTAACACAGGTATTACTTATTTGTGTGATAAGTTCATTATTTTTTCAAGTCTACGCCTTCCTGTTTGTCACCTGCAGTGGTTAGTCCTCTCCTCTGGTAAGCTTTCTGAAGGGAGCTCTAGGCCTGAAGCTGAATTTGAATACGAAAAACGTGTTCCAAGCTCCTGAGCAGCCATGTTCAACTACTGCCAGTTGCAAACTGGGGAGGGACCAGTGGAGCTGCAGGGGGAAATGCTGACCCGTGGGTGGAAGTTGGTTTAAGATGGACACTAAAAGCCCTTAAGTTTGTTTGTTTTTTTTTTTAAAAAAAAAAAAAAACACGGCAACTATAGCTGCTTGAATAGGACGGTTTCACCCTGCTTACATTCGCTGTATTATTTCTAACTTCAGGTGCTTTGCACTGAATCAGAATCTACTACAGAATAGTATTTCTGGAGCCTAACTGTACTGGCACCATAGTTTCAAATACTTTGAAGACAGACGACTTGTGAATTAAAACCACTACTTGTTTTGTGGCTGTGAATTACAGTGTGTTTCAAGGATATATGTGAAAATGTTTATTTTTCTATCGTACTGTGATTTTAATATTGTTGAGTAAGTTCAATTTTTGTGTAAATACTAGTGAAATTTGACTGCGATAGCTGCAGAGACAGTGCTACTTGGTATTTAAGCTCAGGTTATGTAACTGCTTTAATTAAATAGTAGTAAAAAAAAATCCCCTTATTTGTCTATAATTTTAACAACTAAAAAGACTTTGTTTTTTAATAAAGCACGAGGTTGTTTGCATGTACATTTACTGTTAGGCATGGCTTTTGAAGTTGTAACTATTTTTAGTGGCAGCAGAACTGCAGCCACAGAGTTACTGGCACTGTACCTAGCAACCTCACTTTGAAACCGCTCCAATAAAATTATGAAACACTTTTTCTGCCTTTTGTATTATTGCAGTTAATTCATGTTTCCAGGTGATGCTTCAGGCAGCCATGGGTACTTAAAACCAGATAATAAAAGGGTTTTCAAAAAATATATAAAATTTAAAACCTTGCGAAGGACCAGGCGGATCAACTGAGAATCAAGACGAGTAAATGAAAGGTGCTCGTCTCCCAGGATTTTGGGGGCCAGCCTGTCTGCAGGTACGGGTGGCCCCCGCCCTGCCCAGCACCCCGCTCCCAGCACCTCTCCCCGTGCCAGCATTCGGCCGGGCAGGAACCCGCTCCCAGCCCCTCTCGCCCCCCCCCCGGCAGCTCCCCCTCGCCCGCGGGGGGGTCTGTCCCCCCGGTCCCCATCCGGCACACGCAGCCCCAACCCGCCGCCTCGGTGCAGACCGAGAGCTAACGCTGACTTTACAGAAACTTTCTTTTCCCCTCTTCAGCAAGGGCTGCTGCAGGCTGATTTTGTGGCAGGCTGCAACTGTTGCTTCCCAAACAGCTCAATATTTAAAAAAACAATTAAAGTACCTAAATCCCTTTTTTATCCATACCTTGCCTGACAGTGTAGGTATGTCAGATTTCATGTCGACCTCTGTTTTCGTGCCATTGACTTGTTTCGCTGCCTGCAGCTACGCTGACTTCACACAGCACGGAGTTTCTCTCTGTTGTTGAAGACTTTTTGATCCTGAAAACTGAAGGTGCAGGTGCGGGGGCGGTGACAGCGATGCTGGGGTGCAAGTTGCAGGTACATGGGATGTAACATATCAGTATTTCATTTATTTCACCTGCTTTATTTTAAGATCTATTTACCTCATTTTATTTTTTTTCCCCTCGTTTTTGGTTTATCTTTGCACTTCATGAAAATGTTTTAGCTTTGTTTTAATATCCCTCCAATTGTAATGACATTTTCTTATCAGTAAATGGATTCCATCTTCAACAAATAGTGCTGTTTCATGCCTTTCCAAAGTTCCTTGTCCCATCCAACACCAACTAAGACCGGATGACCTCCTCCACCTTCAGCACAGAAACCTTTAAATACTCAGAGGCAAGTCAGGTCTAGAAGCATTGGGGTTTCTAAAGCTCTGCTCTTGCTGACTGTATTGAAAATAATCAGCAACATACAGTACGTAAGCACCATATTTTAATAACTGAACTCATTGTGCATTTATTTCTGGCTTCCTTTAACCTTGGCCGAAGAGTGCAAGTGCAGTTTGCTGTTACCCTGGCAGATGTGAGGCAGAGCAGGAACACGGGGGACATTTGTTCATAAACTCTTTTTTCAAAGTATCTTACAGCATTAAAAAAACAGAAGACAAGCCTGTGGCGATAGGCAAAGGGCAGAATGGATAAATAATTAAATAAATGGGGGGTTTCGAAGCGCGCAGCTCAGGTTTCTGCTGCCAGCATCAGGCCCCTGCCCCTGCAGCCCTGCCCGCGGGGTTAAACCTGGCCCGGAGCTGCAGAGCTGTTCCCAGCCGCTGCGACTAAACCCACCGTGTCTGCTGGCAGAAATATAAATACCCGGAGACTTCAGGCGTTACATGGCAGCTGAGTGTGGGTGTCACAAATGCTAGCAGTGCCTCTACGTGAGGTACCAAGAGGACAGTGAAGCGCCGGGTGTATTTATAGCCCCCGGGGCACAGGCAGTAGCCCAGTGCTCCCTGGGGAACGGGGTCACCCCTCTGCGAGGTGGCAGTGCCCTCCCCCACCCCCCCGGCCCTGCGGAGGGAGCGGGGTGCTGAGCTGACCACCCCCCCTGCCAGCTTGCCCGTTGCCCCAGGCTCATCTGGCTAGCCGGACAGGAGCTGGACACCCTCTGCACCCGTAACACCCCCAAATTCCCCAGCTGAGAATCGGGCAGCGAATCCCACGGGAACAGCCGGTGCCGGGGTGCTGAGCCGGGCTGCTGCCCGCCCAGGGGATCCAGTGACCCCCCCCCCAGCAGATCCAATCCCCTCATTCGAAGTGCTGGGAACACCCTAGACCCTTCCTGGCATTCCCAGGTAGCCGAGGACCAGCAGAGCGATTTATGTAAATAATTCACCAAAGGCATCTGCGGGCCGTTTCTGGCAGTTCCACGCGGCAGCTCCGGCACGCTCGTCCCTGCGGCAGCATCCCCACGGCCAGACACGGGGGGGGGGGGGGGCCATGCCGGCACCCGCTGCCCCGCTGGCAGCACGCGCCCTCTAACAGAGATCGCTCTGTGAAAGTGGGCTTGACTGGTGAAAAATGCGTTTCCTTCCACTGTGAATAAATGGCCTTTTGTAGGAAACGGATCTTTTTGCAAGGCGGCGGCTGAGAAATGACCCAGCTATGGCGCTAACCGCCAGCTCCGCGGGGTTCGGGTGGGAGCTGGGTGCCGGGGCCAGCACGGCGAGCCGCTCGGGTGGGAGCAGAGCGGGGACAACCCAAGGGGCGAGCGCTCCGGGGTCTGCTTCTTAATGCGACCCGGGTGTGAAGAGGTTTGTTCCCCATTCCGGTGGCGCGGGGAGCGCAGAAGCAACCTCGGAGCTGTAGAGCGGGCGGTGGCAGGCGTGGGACGTGGGTAGCCCGCGCTGGGAGTAGCGGAGCGCCGAGGCCGTGGCCGGGATAGCAGCCACCCAAAGAGCAGGGCCTGGCAGCCGGGGGGGGGGATGATCCCCCACACAGCCCAGCAGCCCGAACCGACGCGCCGGGGGCCTGGGGCGCAGCTCTGGCACCAAGGGGTGAGGACTTGCTCGCTTGGCCTCGCTGGGACCCAGCCGGGAGAAGCTCTTGGGGGTTATACACAGTTTTCGTACCAAATATTATACCATTATTAGTTTCAGAATGAATGAGTACTTTTAAGAACCCATATAAGTTTAATTCTTTGCAGACTACTTGCATGGTAGAATTTAAGTATCCTCAGTATAAACACCAAAGTTCAGTCATACATGGAAAATCGTAGAATCACAGACCAGTTTGGGTTGGGAGGGACCTCAAAGCCCCCCTAGTGCCCCCCCTGCCCCGGGCAGGGCCCCCTTCCCCCAGCCCAGGGGGCTCCCAGCCCCGTCCAACCTGGCCTTGAACCCTTCCAGGGAGGGGGCAGCCACAGTTCCTCTGGGCCAGCGCCTCACCCCCCGCACAGGGAAGAATTGCTTCCTTATATTTATTGAAAATAAATAAACTTTGTCTTGTTGAGGACAAATTATTTATTTGTTTGATATTACTGGGCCTTTCTTACAAAAGATTTGTCAAACAACACTGCCCTTACTAGAGGCTGCTGCGATTTCCTTAAAGCCTCCCACTGACCCTCTGTCCTGGTTTTGGCTGGGATAGAGCTAATTTTTTCATCTTTTAGTATTTACAATAGTGCTGTGGTTGGGGTTCAGTACAGGATTTGGTATGAGAAGAATGCTGATAACACACTGATGTTTTCAGCTGTTGCTGAGAAATCCAGGACTTTCCAACTCCCCGTGTCCTGCCCCTGCGCAGGTGCACACGAAGCTGGGGGGGAGCACGGCCAGAGCACCGGCCCCAAACTGGCCACTGAAATATTCCGTATCAGACAGCGTCATGCTCAGCGGGTCGAGGAGGGGTGGCGGGGAAGCCCTCGCTCTTGCTTCCAGGATTGCGGTTTGGGGATTTTTCTCATCTCAGGGATCACTGGCTGTGGCTGGGCTGGGCATCGGTCAGCGAGTGGTGAGCAATCGCATTGTGCATCACTCATTTGTATAGTCTATTATTATTGTCATTATTATTATTATTTTTATCATTATCATCATCATCATCGTCATCATCATTATTATCAATAATAAAAAGTAATGTTATTAATAAATAATAATAAACAACACTTATTATAATCATAATAATAATTTAAAAATTCTATTTATTTTAATTATTAGACTGTATTTATCGCAACCCATGAGTGTCCTGACCCTCACCATTCTCTCCCCCATCACCGGGGGAGGGCGAGCAAGCTGCTGCGTGGTGTTGGGCTGCAGCCGGCTGTAAACCACGACACCGTCCGAGGGTGCAGGGTCAGCACTGGCCCCGGTGACCAGCAACAGCCCCGGCACGGCCAAACCCGTCCTGGGCTGGACCGGGACGGGGCTCCAGACCTGCCACTGTCGCTGGAGCCGACGCTGTCGGGCTCAGGCAACCCCAAGCTCATCTCTCCCCCTTTGAAGGTTGTGCCTGGCACCGCGATGTGCACGTCTGAGGTCAAAGAGAAGCTGCTGGCGACTCTTCCCTGGGCCAAAATGCTCCGAGCAGTAGCGTCGGGCATCCCTGGCGCGGCCAGAAGCTGCTTCTGCACCACGGACACTGGGGGGGTTGGTTCACTTGCCACACAGAGAAACCTTTTCCCGCTCCGAGAAAGCTTCAGCAGCAGAGAAAAACCTCTCCGGGACCATCAAGTGCCTTCAGAAACACAGATTAATGCAAAATGAAGTCACACAGATTCTGTCTCGGCGCAGCCCAGGTAACCAGTCAGAGCAGTACGTCGTGTGGATGTTGTTCCTGCACCAGGAGAGCTGTGAATTAGTGGTGCTGCCACACAGCATGTCCCGGGGGACACACGCGGCTTCGGCAGGAAACCTGGGACCGGCACGGGCAGAGATCCTAAAAGCCCGGTTAAAAACAACACACCACTTTTTGCTATAGGGATGAGAGTGTACCTATGAGTTTTAGTCATAGGCAGAGCCCCCGGGGAAAGTCGGCGCCGCTGCGAAGGGCCCGGGCTGTGCTGACAAGGGGCAGGAGCCAGGATGGAGCTGGGCGTGCAATCACGTAATTATTTTTGCCCCTGGCAACTCCCATTTCCCTGTTTTCTATTATATGAATTCCATAACTGGTGAGGTCTTCTACCACACGCCTCCATGGCAGCCCACCCCCATCCCACCCCCATCCCACCCCCATCCCAACAGCAGGCTCTGCACGGGGTCCCAGTACGGCGACAACAACCAGGCCAGATAAAAGCAGTGTGCCCAGGCTCTGCCTGCGCTTTCCTTTGAGCCGCAGCTTTCATCTGCCTCA